ATAAATGCAAGCAGGAATAACGGCGTATTCGATGTTGCAACTAATCGTCGACACGTGACGCAAATGAGGGGTGGGGGCATATGGAAAAAACAGCTTGAAGCTCGAACGGGACAGCAACCACGGTTGTGGAACGAATAAGAAAAGAACCTTGTTAGAAAATGACCAGCGCTGGTATTTCCAGAGGCTACGGTTCACATTCGCGCAACCGCCATAACGATGACCACGTCCAACTAATGAATGATGAAACCACTCATCATCATTCACAGAAACTGCATCCAGTGGTGATCAATGCTAACGGCATGAATTCTGAAGAAATACTAACGTCAAAGCACCGGAGAAGGGGGGGTATGTGACGACGTCTAATTGTATTACAACATCGAATAATTTTCAAACGCCATTAAACTACGCCCAAACAGAAAACACTACATCGTATTCGACTACAGGTCATTAAAACACGTGCGTTGTTCTTCGCAGCTGACTTGTGTAACAAGTCGAATTAAGCAAGCAAAACGAGTGACGAACTAAAGGCAATACATGGAGGAACGAAACAAAATCAAAAAAGTACGAATAACAGTGCAAACAAGTTTTCAAGCTCGTATTCCACAGCAGCTACGGAAAAACCACCAATTATGCATTTTCATTAACAACGGATATCAAGTTTTAACGAAATACGAGCCTGCCACTACAATGAAGCGGACAGCGGTCAGCGACGGACAAGTACCCGAAGTTACGGGGAGAATGCGATGGCTAAGAGAAAATACCGCGTTGGCCATCAGCGCCCAGCAGAAGCAAACCGCGACGAACGGGAGCCTTTCAAAAAATCGATCGCCACGGACATTCGATGACGACAATCCGGCTTTCACTAAGAGAAACATCGCAAAACCACCACTTCACCAAGAGACAGCGAAGGTCGATCTTCGTTCTGCTGCTCGTCAATCGTTTAAGACAATGATTTGCAAGTTACAACCTTGTCCTACTCCTCTACAAAGTTTATTTTGTTCTTCTGTACTCATGTTGTGCGTCAACCAAACAGCTTCCAAAAACTGAGATATTCAGTGCTTTGAATTATGAAGCAAGGAAAATACTGTGACAGGATTTTTAGTTTCTTCTTTGCTCCGCTATTTAGCCATAGAAAAGTCGGACTCGGCCAAGCACATCTGCTGCCCGTTCATGTTTTGTCATCAACTTCAGAAGTCTTGCAAAACGGTAGTCCATTTAATGGTCGTGATTGCCCATCATTTCAACATTTCCCACATTATGAATACCTACTGCGTTAAAACAAACATTTATTGTTCCCCTTGATAGATTTACAACTTTTCTATTTCAAGAAGTAAATTTCTGACTTGTCTTCACAAGATCTGTTTACCTTATTCCGCCATGACAAAGCCGGCCAAGATCGGGACCTACAAGTTACAGACACTGGGAAATTCACAAATCAGTGGATGAGCTGGGAAGCAATCCGGAAATATGCAGTCCGAAACAGTGCGCAGCTAGAGAGCGACATGTGTCTATATCGGCAGGAAAATGCTACGAGATTTGAGAACAGCAATTCACCTATTACTCAATGAATAAGTTGTAATCGATCTATATCTCGTCCGTGAATTTGATTGTGATCAAATACTCAATACTTCCTTGCTTGTCCGGATTATTCCCTGAGGTGCAGATTCAAAACGTTCATCTAGATTGTTTAGATATCGGCTCGAACTAATATTAGAGGCATCTCTTCTTTCTGTCCTTCAACTGATGTTTTATGACTCTGATCATAGTTCTGTTCGTATATTTAGTTTTTCCTCAACTTTCCCTTGGTTCTACATTTGCGTAATTGATTTTTTGTCATATTATATGCATAGTTATCACTTAATTTCTTCGTTCATTGTGAAAACCGGATTGTCGTAATTCATGTGGTACTTTACAAATATTATTACTGAATGTAGCATTCAGACTCTGCTCAACGCTATCAAAAACTTCAACGAATTACTTGCTGTTAAAATTAAAACCATTATATTTACAGTAAATAAGAATGAAAGGAAAAAATACTCCATTAGTACATCTTTCATCGAAAATATTGTGACTAAAACTAATGACAATGATACGTTATCGTTCAGAAAACAAATGACAAAATAATGCAATTAATAGAATCAAACGGCATTTCGAAACAAATCTAAAGTCGCCTTGTCAATGTGAAGCGTGAAACAAATCAGATGAGAGATCTAGCTTTCGAATCCGGTCTGTTTCTTGTTCTAAGTTCTACCAGCGAAAATTGTGATCCTGTTAACTAGCTGGTAAGTGTTACAGCAAGTCGGAATACTCTATAAGGGTATTTCCGTCCTTCATCAAAAATTAATTGCTACGATGATACTCAAAAATGAACAGTGATGTACGATCCTTTTTCATCGTACAAGGCAAAACTGTGCAAACAGCATTTTCATCTCCAGTGAAGTTCAGGAGAGTAGCTCGACCCTACTGAATGAACTGCTTAGAGGAGAACAACTTCACACCTGTAACTTACTATATACGAATGAGAAGCGGACATAGGTGATCTTTGAAGTTATAGTTGCTTGGAAACTATCATTCTCATCTACTCGATTAAATCTAAATCCCACCCAGAATAATGAACCATCGTTCCAAACATCTATTGCCATTTTATAGCACATCATTTCCGTGTCTGTACTCAGCGAGAAACAGAAATAACTTGTATTTTGTACTGTATAATCCATTGAAATATTTATCTGATGTCTTATCAGTCTGAAAACCTAAGCTTAGCGGGATAAGAAACACACAGAACATAATGAAGTATATGGTACCACGTTTGTACTGCTTTTTACAATCCTATTCATCCGCAATGGATTGGACTAAACTTAGTGAGGCGGAATCGGGAGCTGCCGACAACACAGATGATAACATCATGACTTAATTAAATCTTAAGAAATCTACTGAGAAATATAATAAGTAAAGTTTTAGAGTCGAAAAAGATTTTCTTTGATAAACGTAAAAGCAATTTCGTTGTTCGGCTTTGATGACCGCTTATCTCTCTGGTCGGGATGGCAGCAATCGCAGATAGAGCCTTCAAAGTTATCCATCCTGCTTCAACTTCGGTAGAAAAAAACCTGAGTTCTGAGCAGGATTCACCGATTCATTTGCCCCAAGACATTCTCGGATCTTCCCGAGGCCTTCAGCCGTTCGGTCGAGCAAATAGTAGCAGTTCCGCCTTCGTTTTAGGGGCATTCGCAAAACGTGCCCAGTCACAGCAGTGACTTCTAAATCTGGGATATTAGTAGTTGAAACTAAGGCACTCTCTGATATCGGAACTCAGGACCATATCGAGATGAGTAAGCTCAACGATTCGTTACAGAAAACCCATTTCAGCAGCTTGTACCCGGGATCGCAGCGTTTTAGTCAAGGCCCACGATTCGTGACCGTTGGTGAGCATGGGGATGAAAATCGGCCTAACGAAAAACAGCTTCGTTTTCAAACTTAGCTCTGCCATAATCACCACGGTTCGGACTAGATCACGGAAGACAATCGATTTCTTCCTCCATTTTCCATCATTAGTAAACATGGCCTCGAGGTACGTACACTCTCTACCAGTTCCTCCGCTCTTCCGTATATCTACATAGGACACGCGTAAAGAAACAACAGATCACTAGGCCTTCGGTTTTAGGCACGTTCACACGTATGTCAGCTACGTCACATACGCCTTTGGGTGTTTATATAGGGTGCTGGAAATCAGTGACCATACCGGACAAAACAAGGTCGTCTACAAATAGCATCTCGTGTCAACGTGTAGTATTCTGAAACGCTCGTCGCCGTAGCTACGCCAGAATATCTACCCATGTCAAACACAATCAGGAAACGCAACGCAGAAATCTGTTCGAGAATTGAAAGCATTCGACTAAACTACCACTAACCTTGACACAGCATCTGTTATAAACATGTTGTGATTAAATGACTCGCAAAAACTGTTTATCGAGCTCCTACATCCGCAGGTATGCACACTGCTTGTTACGCGGGATCTAGTCACATCATTTCTCCAGGCCAACAAAGCACATATATACTCGATCAACGAACTCCCAGGACTTTACAACAGTCTGGCGTACGGCGAAGATCCGATCAGAGTTGCTTCAGGATGAGCGAAAGCCAAACTGCACCTCTAGGATCTTAGAGTCTGCAATCCCATGGAACCTCCTTTCCAGCGGGTT